GATGGATGTGGATGGTTCTGAAGTTAAAATTGGGGTCAGAAATTTGTGAGAGGAAGGTGTGACGATATTGTATAGAATGGGTGTTTGAAGAACAACAAGATTATGTAGGAGTAAGGTGTTGACGTTTGTATAGGAAAATAAGGCAGAGAAAATAGGACAGTATTGTGAAGTGTGGACTATGAAAAAAGTTGACGATGTAAAATATACCCATTTACAAAGATTAACCTCTTTTTTTAATTGTAAAGGAGTAATGTTAATTTTATCATATATTTTTTACGAACAATTCCACCTCTGTAAGTACATATTCATGTGATTTTATTCTTAAGTTGCTTATCTCTTTGTTCAATATATTGCAGTGCACTTCTAACGAAGCCAAGTTTTTTTTTCCGGTAGAATGGTAAATTTTTGCAAATGTTTCGTCAAAATTACCTTTGTCATTCACGCTTCTACATCCAAAGTACGACCTAGAATTTGTCTAACTTCCATTTTTGAACAAGACTTAAACGGGGAAGGATTTTAACATATTAATAATTAGAGTAGTCTATTTTATTGCTATATTATCACTTTCTCAAACAATAACAATAATATATCAACTGTAAAGCATATGTTTGCATGTAACTGACGAACTACGTCCAGAGAAATTGTTTTTTTTTAAATTATCTCGTGAAGAGGTCTTATGGTTAGCTCAGTTACCTAAAAACATAAATAAAAATATATTCTATAAACTTAAATATTAAGTACAATTGTAAAACGTTGATATTAAATTTTTGGTTTTTTTTTGGTCTGACATTTACTCAATCCCTTACTCTATCGTGCTCCATCTATCGAGAGTTTTTAGGGATCTTATATATTTTTAAGATTAATATAACGTATGTACAATAAACCAATTTGAATTTTGTTAGAAAAATCGACAGGAGAGATTTTGTAATTAGGTAGAGCAGTAGGTTTCAGCAAAGATTTCTAGGACAAAGTAGGCTAGTGTGAAAATGTCGAAAGCAGCTCGGCAGGCAGGTGGCGCATAATAATAATAATAATACTACTATGTATGTATACTGCTCAGGCCCAGTTGTTATCAACAGGTCCTCGTAGACACTTCGTCTCAGGACCATTTTACTCATGTAGAGTCATACGCCGCCATGTTACCTATCCAACGGTAACTTAACCATCACAAATTAGAAATACTAATAATGTAAAACAATTTCAAATTTATAACATTTAAAAGGTTTTTACCCATATATTTTGGTGGCTACTAGCATGTACAACCGTTTGCACTGATGATGGATTGTTTAATCCGAAAACTTTTTGCAATGTGTTTGTGATAGCCCGTTTCAGGCATTTTTATATACCTTTTATAAAGGATTTTAACAAAAATTTTTTTTTAAGCAGAGTAAGTGCTGTGCTGTGTAGCCACAACAAAGAAGTGAGTATTTCATATAAAAAAAGCTAGGATGGATCATGGTCAGCTTGAGTTATGGCGTTCTTTTCGTACACATGGCCCAAAAATTTTCGTACACATCTGGACGTCGCGAGGAGTACAGGTTTCTGCATAGTCTTATAAACATGTTCATTTAGATCCAGCTGTTTTATGTTCCCTAGGAGGTTTTTGGGAATAACTCCAGTAGTAGTTAAAATAATAGGTACTGTCTGGGTACTTTCCATTCTCCATTGTCTCCAGATTTGTATTTCTAGATCTCTGTGCTTGGCGATCTTTTCGTTGTATTTAACACGTAAATTATTGGTGTAAGGTATCGTAATTTCAATAAGTGTTGTTTGTCTAGTAAGTTTATTAACTATTATAAGATCTGGTCTATTATGTGCCACTGGTTGGTCTGTGAGCACAGTGCGGTCCCAGTATTGCTTTTAATTGTCATTTTCTAGTATTCTGTCAGCGACGTATTGATAGTAGAGATGATGGTCGGTTTAGAGAAGTCCTAGTTTGTCAACTAGTTCTTGGATAATATGTATGGGTTGACAAGGTTTTTCCAATACTTGTCTTAAGACAAATATATTTTCTAGATACCATTTTGCCTCTTTATATTGTTGATTTGTAATAATTCTCAAAAAATTTTTTATTTGGGCCATTAAAGTCGAATCTATTCAAAATGCAATTAAGAAAGTCTCCAGGAGACATGAAGAGAGGTTCCAATAGCATCCCAGCCATGAAGTACTTCAGCTTCTGGTCAACCAACCCCCGATGCAGACTCAAGAGGACGAAACCCTTAGAGCTTGTGTAATGTGTGAACTTGTGCAAGGCTTGGTTACTGTTGTGCATTGTAGCCACAAAAAGGACGTAAGTAGTGTGTTGTGTGACTTTGTAGCTACAACAAAGAAGATGGACCAGGTGACATCTAGTTTACAAACAATCTTAGAAATTAGGTTGAAGAAAGGATGCTGATTAAGCCGTATAGCCTTGCTTATGTCTCAAAATTATAATATCTAGTAAAAAATGCACAATTACCAAAACATTGGGCGGTGTAGACAAAACGTACGCAACGCCATCTGCAATGTCTTTAACATCTAAAGCAGGCACCTCGCCACCCATTGCTTCTTGTAGAGCTTCAGCAGAGACGCCGCTAGTTTCAAAAATTTCGGTTGCCACTATTCCTGGACTCAAATTCTAAAAAGATACAAGTAACTTTCATTCTAGATGTTTAATAACGGATTTGATAAATATTCGAACAAGTATAAAAAGTTATTCATCTTTATATAATTTTCTAACTTAAGTGAGGTTCTGTTCGGAAATAACAATAAATAAAGATATAATCATTTCAAATTTCAAATTTCAAATACAATTGTTTCGCATAGTAGTTATATAAGTTTCTGATGACGAGCTCTATCGAATGCCTTTTAAAAATCAAGGAAGCAGATATAGAAATCCTGATTCATATTCAAAACATCTTTGTGGGAGCATATTAAAAGCTAAACATGCTTCTCTCTTACCCTGTTCTGAATCCAAACTGGGTATCATCTACTACCTTCTTCCAGTATTTTTGATTAAATTTCCATGTATGATTTTCAGAAATATATCTAAAGCTTGCGAAAGAATTCTTTGTTTATTTCTTATAAAAAGACAGATATTAATATTTTGAATGCTATGTGCTTCAAGTTCACCACAGAAACCTAAACCAGGCCACACAAAAATATAAAAATTTTACACTTTTTTTCATAATTATGCAAAGTTCCATGACAAGGATAGATAGACATATAATTAAATAACGACAGGACGAACTAAGTACCTATGTGTCTTGTGTATTAGTAAAACCCTTCTTACATAAGTGAAATATACATACCGTTATTTTAATCTTGGACTTCATTGCATTAAATTCTAATCTTAAACACTCTGCTAAAGATTTTACAGCTGATTTGGTGGCTGGATACATGCTTAAAAGCAAATTTTTTGGAACACTATGACCAAGGACGCTGTTCATATGTATTATGTGTCCATCCACGTCGTTTTCTATCATATCTTGTATTGCTTCTCGTGAGCAAATGCATAATCCTGAAACAAAAGAAAACGAAATTGTATCTGAAAGTAGACAGGCATTTCTTTTCAATTCAATTCAAGCTCCTCTATTGTTCTACATGTGCTTCGAGCTATTCAGCCCTCATCAGAAACACTTGTGGTAGCTTGGACCGAAGTAAAACTCAACTATTTGGCATATACGGAGTGACATAACATGCCTGAATACGCTAGTAGCGACCTTTATATGAAACAGCGAATTACTCGAAGCTATTGGACGACGAGAGACCAAAGACATGGTACAAGAACTGAATGGCATACTACAAGAAACTGGGCTGGAGATAAATTTCGAGAAAACCAAAAAGATTCAGATCAATAACAACAAGGTAGAATTAATCGATAAATACACGTACTTGGGTCATGAAATAAGAATAACCAGAGACAACCAAACCTGCGAGCTAAATAGACGAATCATGTTGCGATGGGCGGCATATGGACGAATGAAAGACATTTTTAAAACAAATATCCCAATTCACCTGAAAAGGAAGGCATTTAACCAATGCATCTTACCAGTCTTGACCTACGGAGCAGAGACCTTAACTTTAACTAAAGCTACTGCCGAAAAACTGAGGGTAACACAAAGGCGAATGGAGAGATCAATGCTGGGCCTGACCTTGAAAGATAGCGTAAGAAATGAGGAGATACGCCGACGAACTGGCGTAGACGATATTATACTGCGAATCAATAAACAAAAGTGGAGGTGGGCTGGACATGTTGCTAGAATGGAAGACGGAAGATGGACGAAGAGATTATTGGAGTAGAGACCAAGAGCCGACAAGCGAAGTCAAGGCAGACCACCCACCCGATGGACCGACGACCTAAGGAGGATAGAAACAAACTGGATTGCAGCAGCTAGAGATAGAGAGAACTGGAGATGTTTGGAGGAGGATTATATCCAACAATGGATGTGAAAATTCGGCTGGATGATGATTGGACGATGTTAGGAATAACTTTTTATTTCGAGAATACCTTTACACGCTACCCTTGAACAATACGATCTTTTGTGTTCTACGTACAGAAAAGTTGTTGAAATAAAAGTAGATGATGCATTTCTTTTCAATTGAAGCTCCAATATTAATTCACACGTATTTCGAGCTATACAGTTCTCATCTATAACGCTTGTGGTAGCTTGGACATCTCTATAAGGAGTTCTGATTGTTCCTAGAAAGATTGCCACTTCACCTTTTTCATACGAATGCGTCGAATGCGTTATACATAACAATAATACTGGTTACTGGATTCTCTATAAATATGGAGATCTAAAGTTTTTTCGTCTCAAAACTGAAAGCCAATATAGAAAAAAAAATCTTTTTTCACAAGGTCGGAAACAGATTTTCTGTTTTCTTTCAAAAAATAGTCACCGTACATATAAAAAATAGTCTGATGATTTAAGCAACCAAATCTGCTTGTAGATGAAATCATCTTAATTCATTTGTTAAGAAATAAATCTAATAAGCTTGTAGTCACCGTGTAGACTTACCTAACACGTTGACCAAAAATGTTTCATTCCAAGCTTCAGAATCTCCGCTGCATAGACTTTCAGTGACTCTTGCTATGCCAGCATTATTTACTAAGACGTGTACAGGACCAAGAGTTTCTTTGACAGTTTGAAATGCATCTAGAATATCTTGTTTAATAGAAACATCACAGCGAATAGGATGAAAACTTCCTCTTCTATTAGATAAAGTACGTGCCAACTCTTCCATTTTGTCTACTCTTCTAGCCAGACCAACTACCTTTTAAACAAATAAATATTAAATTAGATATTAGATCTTATAAATAGTATTTATTATTCAAATTTTAATTGACAGTGGTTAATATCGAAGTATTATACAAGTGACCATTCACTGTGTTGGTCTATAATTTTTATTATCGGTTGTAAGGGACGTATTACGTATATAAAAACATGTAGCTCTACCGTATTGGTCAATATATATCTTTTGAAATTATCGTATCTACTCTATATTGTTTTGACATTTTATTTACATCAAAAAGTGAACTTTATAGTGGTTTTAAGACCTACGTACTTAGACTTCATCTATGAATTTGTTTTTATTAAATAAATGACAGTGTGCACCTACTCTATAAACAAAAATTAAAAAACTACATATTGTAATGAAGAATATATAGTTCCTATAGAAGAATATATAGTAGATTCGTTAGTACAGTATTTGGAATTCATTACCATCATTCCTTCGTCTACCAATCTTTCCGCAACTGCAGCTCCGATTCCAGAACTAGCTCCAGTAACGATTGCCACTTTTCCAATCCACCTCTCCATGATATTAACCTAGAAAAAGTAACTGTTATATCTTGCAAAGCTCTACAGAATTACAGAAAATATATAAAAAGAACTGTATATTACTAAAAAAACTATAAAAACAATAACCCAAAAGTACAGAAGTAGATCAATAGATAATAAAATCAGACCTATATTTCAAAAACAATGAAGATTGTAAGAATCGTAACAAATCCAGAGAAGATTTTTTGCACGGCAAATTCCTAGATTTTTTAACTACAAGAAATGTCTTGATAAAGCACATGATTATTAACTTCAGAACTGACAAGACTACTGTAGACTAGCTCAGAGCGAAGCTTTATACTATGTTTTTTGTATGTTTAAAATTTAAATTCAAATTCAATAAATTATTATGTTTGCTCCTAACGCCACCTGGTAACGTATTAACAAAACATACGTTGTTTATATATTGTTTTGAAGTTATTTTCTTGTGGCATTTCAAATTAATTACTATTTAACTGGGAATAAGCCACAATTAAAGATAAAAATACGTTTATTGACGTTTCAATTTCCACTTCGGAAATCGTTGTCAAAATACAAACAGTAAATTAAACAAAAAACAAAATTTGTTTAATTCACTGTTTGTATTTTGAGAACGATTTCCGAAGTGGAAATTGAAACGTCAATAAACGTATTTTTATCTTCAATTGTGGCTTATTCCCAGTTAAATAGTAATTAATACGTTGTTTACTTCTGACATACCTGTCAAATTCAGATCAAATATTAATAAAATATACTTAAGTAAATATCATATGATAGTAAATTTAATTATTATAAAAACTAAATAATACATACATCAAAATAATGTAGGGGACACATATATTAATAACATTAAATTATTGTTAACTGCAAATACAAAAATAAATTTATGTTTTTAATCTTTTTTGTTGTGTTGTCAATTATTGTACCAACTTGGATGGTAATGCTGATAAGAATGGCTATAAAAAATTTAACAAAACTTCAATTATGCATTTTTTGTCTGTAAGATAATATTTTGTCCAAAGAAATATTTCTTTATTGGTACTTGATTTTTTCCTAACCTGTACCAACATTTCTTAACTCGGCATATGGAAGTATATGATTCAGTTCAAATTCAAATTGGTTCAAGAAAACATATGATTTTTTTAGCCAAAATTTCATCACAGATGTGTTGGAAGATCGAAACCGAATATACAACTGTGGCAGCTTTTGCCATGGTTTCACAGGACAAACAAGTGTTAATTAAAAGAGGGTCTAAAACTGTATATACTAGGACTACTAACGATGAACAAGAATGTCTGACCGTACTAGCAGCACTATCCGCTAGTGGAGATATCCCACCACAAATGGTTTTGTTTCCCTATAGAAGGCTACCAAAACATTTAGTTCCAACTGTGCCAATAGGTTGGGATATCGGATACAATGAAGTGGATGGATAAAAAAACACAAATGTTTTATGAGTATTTCGCAAACTATTTAATTAAATGGTTGAACGAAAAAACATTAAGCGACCTGTCATGTTATGTTTTGATGATCTCTGGCGTTGAGCGAGCTTTGTCTTGAAAATGGAATTGTTTTGCAAGTACTGGTTTCATATTCTATACATATATGCATATACATATCATGGAATATAGTTCATGATTTCTGAACCTATTTTGAAAATCAATTTTCCATAAATTCTGCTGAATCCTATTTTGTCACTCCTCCAAAATTTCCAACGCCATTTAAAAATACATTTTATTTCCCCAGAAAAATATCTCAAACGTCCAAAAGAAAGGCTACAAGAAATAAACACCTGTAGTAACGATTGCTGATGAATTGAGGGAGTATAGGTCGGTTATACTTATTTGAGAAAAGTGCGATAAGCAGCACTATGAACGGTGAAGAACAGGATAGTACCAGCTACATAAAACATAATATGATATATTTTATAAGAAATTGGTTCTATAAATTTGTATTGTTACATACAAAGCTTAATTTTATGTCTTGATGATTTTGTGTAAGATTAAATTACTTTAATCATATTTCTGCAATGCATTTTCTATAAAATATTCAAACAATAATTGGTTTGTATACAAAAACTAATTAATAATTGAGCGAACGGTAGGTAGTGGAAGATAAAATAGTACATTGTTTACCCGGTAGGAAAAGCTTAACATTCCTGGACGACTGTGAAGATTGCTAAGTCGAGGCGCAAGCCGAGACTTAGCAACACAGAGTCCAGGAATGTGGCTTTTCCTACGAGGTAAACATACTATTTTTCCGCAAATCGTTTAAAATTCGACAGATATTGATTGATTTAAAAAAAACGCGATAATTTTATTCCCAAATAAATGGTGCTTTGAAATTCCTAATAAAATTACTTGGGTTACTATGGAAACGTATTGAGGTTGAATTGTCATACTTGACGCTTATAAATTTAATTGCTGGTGTTCTCGAAAGTAAAATGATAAGTGATGATGAAATTTCCATTCCTGGGACTCCTCCAGAGCTTGATGTTTTCAAAATATAAATTAATTCCTTATAAGCAATGTGTTTTCTATCATTTATGTAGAACACTAACAACTGTACGGAAATATCATTTCCTTACAGTAAGGAAATGACATTTCCTTACAGTAAGGAAGTCCTGACTTTTTCTTCAAGAAATTTTGACAGGAATGTCAAAATTTCCTGGCGATTTGCGGAAAATATACATATTTAAATAATTTATAAAACCTTGAAGTAATAGTTAAAAGTTTATCTAGTCAACACTTACTTACATTATTATTTTCTCTTAAGAACTGATTTTTAAAGATATAGATATTGCAACAATAAGTGAACCTCAACATTACGAATGAAGAAAAACAAAAAGGAGAGATAGATGGAGCAAATAAAAAATAAAATGAAATTTTAAACAAAAATTTTGGTTCTGTTCATCAAAGTTCTGGTTCTGTTCATCAAATCAAAGTTCTCAAAAATTTTTGGTAAAAAACAGGTAAAAGGACTTAAAAGACGAAAGCTAACAATTTTATAGATTTAGAGGTGGGCAACTACGAACTAGGTGACTACGTCATTGTAGTTTATAAGGAGAATTTTTTTCAGGAGATAGATTATATTATTTGGTATGATCCAGAGGAAATTGTTTGTTTAATTGCACCGCCTTAGATATACGCTTAGAACTACGCCTGAGAATGCTTCGATGTTACGTGTTCTCTACTCTTCGTTATGGCCGCCTGAATAAGTTGGCCGCCTTTGAATTTTGGTGTTACAGAAGAATCCTACGAATATTATGAATTCAAAAAATGTAAAACGTGGAAGTAACTAGAAGAATAGGAAATAAGTCGGAAATAATATTAACTATCAAAAGACGAAAACTTGAGTACTTAGGACATGTGATGAGAGGGCAAAAATACGCATTATTACAACTAATTATGCAAGACAAAATCCGAGGAATGCGAAATGTGGGAATACGAAAAATATCCTGGCTTAAGAACTTAAGGGAATGGTTTGAATGCAGAAGTGCAGAACTTTTTAGAGCAGCAGTCAACAGAGTCCGCATAGCCGTGATGATTTCCAGCCTTCGATAGAAGATGGAACTTAAAGAAGAAGTACTTTAACAAAATGGGTTATCTGTACCTGAGATAATTCATTTGAAGCTTTTTCATAGATCTTTGCTCTTATGCAATAAATGAAAAAAAAAACTGTTGCTTAGTAACTAGGAAGTATTTTTTGTTGGTTTTTTAGGTTCAAAATGTATTACATCTTTTTATTTTATTTAGTTTGTCTATGCCTCTTCTGTATTAAAATTATGTTTTTATGCTTGGTTATACCTACTTTGAAAATATTAAAACAAATATTTACATTTTTTGATATGCAGGCCAGAATTAGATCACCATAAGGCTAGAATTACCACTGATTTTTTAACATAGGCCGGAATTAAAATTTTTGCAATTGAGCCGTTATTTGGTTAGTTTACCTTAATAAATATAAAATCTTTATATTGCAATATATGTGTAAGTATCCCTGTTTTTGTATAATTCAAACCATCCATTTAAGAAATAAAAAGGTGCTTTCAGACTTTTGGTCCATTGTATATACATATATGTGGACAGCGATATTTCTTTTCAATTCGAAGCTCACCAATCATCGTCTCTAAAAATTTAATATTTTTAATCAAATAATGTACAGCTGCACATGTGGCAAAACTACCAAGGTCCAAACATAGATAGTGAGCACTTTCTTGTAATGGCAAAAATCAGAGGAAGAGTATCAAACCTAAAGAAGGATAAACATATGAAACAAGACAGAATTAATGTTAATAATCTTCGCATTGAAACCGTTGCGAGAGAGTATAGAAGACAAATGGATGAGGAAATAGAGAGCCTGGAAGTACACGGAAAATGTGGAGGAATTGTGGATAAAATGTAGAAACAGTAACTGAGAAGGCATCGGAAATATTTGACAAGGAGTGCCAAGAAGCAACAGATAACAAAAATAGAGCATACCTAAAGACTAAGCAACCAGAAGAGCAAAGGAGGAATACCGGACCCTAAGAAGAAAAGAAAAAAAATTACATAGAAGAAAATTTGAAAAAAAAACAGAATGGCTAAGAAATCAAAACGAAACTCGAAAGTTCTACAGAAATATAGACAAAATGAGTAAAGTTTAAGCCAAGAATATGGAGCTGTAAGGATAGAGAAGATAGAGAAGTGATACGGCTTCAATCTTGAACCAGTGGGTTGAATTTTTCGACGCAAGATATAACGGCCATTATATCGAAGAAGCTAATATCACCGTAGCAGATCGAAATGATTGGAATCTATTCAACCCAAACAAAAGGTCAGCTACCACTGAAGAGGTTGCCCTTGCAATTAAAAAGCTTAAAAATAATAAAGCACTAGAAACTGATCAAATTTGTAGGTCTGGTACAAAGCTTCAAGCAAATTTGTAGTTCTCTAGTAAGCTCTGTAGTAAGTCAAAAATGGTGGCGATGCCCTGCTACATGCTGCTGCATAAACAGAATG